CCCATTCTCTTCTAGCCTTTAAAGTTTCTGCTTAGAAGTCTGCTGTTAGTCTGGTGGGGTTTTCTTTATAGACGACTAGATGCGTGTCTCTTGTGTTTTAAAATTTGCTTTTTCACTTTGACTTTAGATGGTCTGATTATAACGTGCTGTGGTGAAGACCTTTTTGTGTTATATTTATCTGGGGGTCACTGAACCTCCTGTAGCTGGATGTCTAAGTCTTTTCCCAGGCTTGAGAAGTTTTAATCTATTATTTCATTACATGAATTTTCTAAACTTTTGATCTCCCTGTGCCTTTGGGGATACCAGTAATTGAAATATTCAGTCTCTTCATGTTGTCCCAAACATTTTGAAGGCTTTGTTGTTCTTTTTTCTTTTTTTCTTTATTTTTGTCTCACTGGATTATTTCAGAAGACCTGTCTTCAAGTTCTGAAATTCTTGCTTCTGCTTGGTCTAGCCTATTTTTGAAGGTTTCAAATGTATTTTTTATTTCCTTTAATGAATTCTTCAGTTCTGGAATTTCTCTTTTTGTTTTTATATGTGTCTGTCTCCTTGGTAAATTTTTCATTCATATCTGGAATTTTTTATCTGAATTCTTTGTATCAGTTTTCAGATTTCTCTTGTATCTCATTAAGCTTCTTAAAAATCAGTATTTTGAATTCTTTATCTGGGATTTTGAGAATTTCTTTTTGGTGAAGATCTATTGCTAGAGAATTATATTTCTGGGGATGTCATATTTCCTTGCTTTTTAATGTTTCCTGTTTCTTGAAGTTGATATTATCACATCTAGTGTAATGGTCACTTCTTCCTATATTTGAATTTACTTGCATTGGTGATAAATTTTTGCCTGAAGATATATCTGTGGTGTTGGTTGGGTAGGGCCCTTTGGTTTTGCTTCTAGGTACATGCAGTACTGAAGTCTTTGTTTGATTTCTTCAGTTATAAACAGAACTACTGGTATCTGTGGTTTCCTTGGTGAATTAGGGTGTGGTTATAGTAGTGGGGTGGTAGAGTTGTACTGGGGACTGGAATGTCAGATGAGTCTATCTTCAAGCTTCAGTGATAACATTGGTGGGCCAAGCATGTCTGTCCTTGTGCCCCAGGGCAGCATATGCTGATACCTGTGTTGGTGGTTTCAGGAAGGCCAATTCTTCGGTCTCTAGATGGTTTTGTCAGATGCTAGTTGTAGTAGTGGTAGGCTGGGCAGATGAGTGAGGTCTTGAGCTCCTGGGTGGCTGACATGGCATGGGCAATGGTGGGAGTTGTGGCAATGTGCTTTTCTGGGTCCCAAGCCCTGTACACGTATGTTGGCAGTGGTTGTGATGGGCTGTGCAGGCTTGCCTCCACGCCAGTAGATGGTGCCTGCTGGTAAGAGCCAGCTGAGGTGGTAGCGGTAAGATGTTTAGGACCAACTTTAGTTCCCCAGGAAGAGTACTCAGGTGCCCTAGGTGGTAGATTGGGTTGTATAATCCCTAGGACCCTGAGCCATGCACTCTCTCTTGAGGTTGGGCGGGTACTAAAGCCAGGTGACACTTGACCAAGCAGGCTTGCATTCACATCCCCAAATGCATGTGTCAGCCATGACTGGTGGTCCACAGGCTCCTGGTGGAATGCTTGGGTGAGGACGGCAGCTGCTGTGCTGAGGCCCTACCATGGGAGAGTGAGGCTGGTTCCATTGCTCACTGCCTTGGCTGATAGGTGAGGGGTACACATCCCTCTCACACCCCAGTCCCAATGTGTCTTACTCCCCAGTCCCAGCTGTTGCACCCAACCTAGCTGTTCTGTCAGACCTGGCTGTCTGTACTTAGCATACATCTCAGCCCCAGGCTGTAGGAGCCCCCGTCTAGCATGGGACCAAGCCTCTGCAGCAACTCGCATCCTGCTCAAGTCCTAATCTCAGTCCTGGTGATGCCTGCTTCCCAGTGCCAGCAGCCACAGCCCACGCCACACTGTTCTCTCAGTTCTAGCTGTGAGAGCCACGCCCACCCCACCCCCACCCCCCGTTCCTGTCCCAGTTCTGCAAGCAACAGCCCGAGCTTCCCTAATGCCTAAGACCAGCACTGCTGGGTCATAGGACATAGCAGATTTTGTTACAGGCTAGAATTGAAAATGGCATCATGCTGTAGCCACTCAGTTTTCAAAAAGAACGTGTGATCAAGGCAAACTCCCTCCCTAGAGCAGTTCCTTCTCACAGTCTCCTGGCAGCTCCTTGAGTTAAATTCAGGGCTTGGTAGGGTCAAGGTGCTGTCTCATGGTCTGGATTTCATGGTTCCACAGTGGGAAAGTGGACCACAGAGAGTCTTTTACTTATCCTCTCCCCATATCCGGGAGCCGGCTTCAAGCAGGCTGCCTCTTTTCCTTCTGCTTTCTAGTTTTTGATGTTTCCTCTCACTTTTCTATTGAAATTCCATGTTCTCGCTTAAATAACGTACTCAAAATGTGATTGTCTATATACTATTTTGGTTCTTCTAAGTGGGTGAAGTGAGCATGAATGTGTCTAGTCAGCCATTTTGAAAAAATTCAGACAGGTTTTCTTGCTCATTGTTGAAGAGAGATAAATCTGGGATCACTAGAAAAAAGTGTTTCTGAAAAATGTAAAACCTGGAAATACATATATAGCATGTAATTAGGGTAGGTTTTCAGAGAGAGAAGAACAAATCAAGAATCATTGCAAGTAAGCTTATATGGAATACTTAAGGCTTGTAGTTAAAAATATATATACATATGGCTATTAGTGTCAAAGGCCTATGGTAGCAGCAAAGCAATCATAATCATCCTTTTCTCACATGGGTTCTTTTCCTATGGAGAGAATTAACTCAGGTGAAATTAACTTCTCCAGTGTTTAATTTTGTAATATTAGAAGGATCACTTCTGACTGGTGTCCCTTTGATTCGCTGTTCTTTATTGAACTCTTTTTTTTTAGAATAGACTAGCCAAATGTGACATCCCTTGGATCCAAAAATTGGAACTTAGAAACTATTCTTTACATAAGTCTTTACACTATTAGGGAAGAAAAGGAGTTACTTGGGAATTCTTAATATTAATTCTATTTTTTCTTTCTTTCTTTCTTTCTTTTTGTTCTGAGATGAGATCTCACAACGTTGCCCAGGCTGGCCTTAAATTTCTGGGCTCTAGTGATTCTCCTGCCTCAGCCTCTAGAGTAACTAGAACTACAGGTGTATGCCACCACACCTGACAACATTAATTCTCATTAATAAATTTATGAGCTAAAAAGATAACTATAAGATATTATATCTGACCTTTCATATTACCATCAGAAATTTAGATAGCTGTTCTCTTTTCTTTATAAAACATAGATATAGGGCATGGGTTTAGTTGAAGTAAGTTGTAACTGTACATGTAGCTATCTTGATGGTGGTGGTCCCTAACAAAGGTCTGTAATTCTGCTTGGTTTATTTGGGAGTGGCTAAATGTGGTGCACCCCAACCCATTTTGTTCCCTACTACTTTAAAAAGAAGTTGCCTTCATGTTTGGATGGAAGGACCAAACCACGCCCCCAGAGTGCCTGCACAGTAAGGGAGTTTGATGAAAGCCACACATGGCACTAACAGAGACGGGATCTTTTGAGTGTAGATACATCACAGAAGCCTCGCAGAGAGTGGAACAGCATGTAGTCTAGGAATTGCGAGGATCCGTCACCTCCCTAAGGACCGAGTCACCACGGCGCCCTCTCAGCAACAGGAGTGAGTTGGTGCCATCCGTCAGTGGTAGTTACAGAGTTCCTCTGCCTTTGATTCTTCATCTGTTAGCCAGCTAGCTCACCCTCTCCTTCGTGGCCCTGGTTATAAGTAGCTTTTCTTACTGTAGCTCCAAGCTTTGAGCTCCTTCTTGCCTCCTTTCTCTGCTTCTTTTTCACCTTCCGTTCCCATCACCAACTTTCTAGTGTCCTTTCTTTTTCTCCTCTTTGGATTCAGTGGGAGAGAGAAACGTATTAGGCCAGTGAGTGACGGTTTTCCTGTCTGAGAGAGCCATGCCGGCTTCTGACTAGCTCACAGATTGGCTATCCTTAGGGCAGGACTCCCCATTTCCTTGCCAGCTTTGGGAGCTAGGTGGAGTCAGAGTGGGGAATGGTAGTGAATAAGCAGCAAGGAACACACATCAGGCCTGGGGCTGCCTCAGTCTGCTCGTAAGAAAATGCGGCTCCGTCACCCAGTCCGGCTTACAGTGGCATTGACCACTCTGCTCAGTAGGATCACTCTCCTGCCAAAGGATTCACGGCATGTTGCTGGTGGACACGTTTGTATTTGTACAACTCTAATTCTGTATTTAGGACTGGCTTTAGCTACCCTGGGGCCTCTTCACTTGGTTTTTATAAGGAAGTTTTTTCTTCTTCCTACCTGACTAGAGTCATCATTTTCCCCTTTTGTCACTTTCTTCATGCCCTATCTTATTTCATCTTCATTAACTAATCTATTTAGGAACAGTGAAAAGGGTAACTTGGAAAGCTAAGAAGGAACAGATAGAGGAACTCTTTAAATTCAGGGGCATCTGAATAGTTTGTTAGCTATTTGGGGCTTTAAAAACTAGGAAGATGGAGGCAGGGACTGGGCTCCAAGGAAGAACAGTGAGCCAAGGGTGATGGCTTGGGGGGGACCAGTCACTGCACATTCTGTCCACCTTCCGGCTGGATAGAGCAGGGAGGATGGAGAGCCCACAGTGGGGGTGAGTAGGTGGCAGTGTTTTTCCACCAAGAAGTGTTAACAGTGGCTGATTTGGGGGAAAGATGACAGGGACAAATGAGAGAAGGTGTGTGCTGGTTATTTGATGTAGGTGGGTTATTTGCCTCATTTTTCTTAAAACTCGATACCAATATAATCTAAGAGTATTTTGTAGTTTTGAATAGACTATCAAAGCTGGAACTCTTAGAGTCTCTTGTACCTTTACTTTTAGCCCTGTACATTTTTTCTTAAAATTAAACATTACATTGCCTTAATTTATTTCATTTATTAAATTTATATTCTTATGTTTTTTATTTCTATCAGCTTCCAATCAGAAGACCATAAATCCTCCTAGGGTAAGTTAAAGTTTATTAAATGAATTGGGAATGATCACTTGATGAGTTAAACTGAGGAATAGTAATGGAGATATTTTGTTATCTGTTTAGTGTAACATCAAGTTAAGAAAATGTATAAGTCATTTCATTACCTTTGCATGAATGGGTCCAGTTCTATTTTAAAAATCTATATTTGGTATTTTGGTATCCATGGGATGGAAATAAATGAGTCCTTAAGATTGTACTGACTTCTCACACCCAGAACTGGAAAGTTTACGAGTAGGAATAATGGCTATATTATATCTGCAATCAGAAGGAAGCTAATTCCAATACATTCCCTCACCTGTTGGATTCATTTGATGTGCATGTGCACAATGACAATTTCAGGCTTAAGAATGAAAAAGAGAAGTTTATATTAAATTGTCTTAATGATAATCTATAAAATAAATATAAATATTGCTACAGATGTCTGTTCAGTTATGATTTATTCCCCTCTCATAAAAATGTTTTATAATCTTTTCTTCCTTAAAACTGTACTCCAGGTTTCACTATACCTTGGATACTTTAATAATCTTTCTGAGAAAATTCCAAGAAAGAAGCAAATTTAGGAGGGCATAAATGAAGAGGAAAAAGTCCTTATAAGTATAAACTCATTTATAGTGACAGCCTGAGAGCTAGTCAGTGAGATCTGGAAAGGACTGTATTGTACTTAGCTTCCCATGAAGGACTGATGCGAGATCTGCCTGGAATGCCAAAAAGAGTCTCTGTCTCTGTGGCTCCACAGGCTTCCAAGTCTGACAAACCTCAGCAGATGTGCTAAAGGGCAGGGGTGGGGTGGACTCCTCTTGCCACAGGTGCTTGTTCTAGAAAAATTGGTGCCATAGCTACATCGGTCACAAGCAGCTAGCGGTTTATAAAGGTGTCTCTTAGAAATAATCCAACCACTGGACCTGTAAATCCTAACATATTTTCTCTCCCTGTTAACTGATTTCGGTTTGTGTGACTTGAAAATGATTCTGCTTTGCTCTCATTTCTTGTTTAACTGTATTATTACTCTTTTGTTGCTATTTATTGTTTGAACTTTAATAATTTTTGAGAAGTTAGGATTTCTTGAACTGAAGGAGGGAGGGTGGGTGGGAAATTCTGCTTAGAAAAAGAATATTAAGAGAATAATACAGTTATTATTAAGCTATTAACTAGACTTGGCAAGCTTTGCTTACAGCCTTGTTTCGTTTTTAGACTAGAATTTACTGCTTACTATATAGTTTAAATGTTGGTGTATATAAGTTTTAGTATAAAAGGACATGAAATAAGTTATATTTTTATATAAACGTATTTTAAATATTTTCCAGAAAGCTGTAGAAGAACCCCTTAATGGTATGTGGTTATTTCAATCTTGATCCCTTACCAGATCATAATTTGAACTGGCCCTCAAAGCAGTTAGAATGCCCCATCTATGCCTTAGAAAAAATCTAGGGTTTTTCCCCCTTCCCTTGCCCTCTCTTCTCTGAATTTTTCATCAAGAATTATGAGTTGCCATCTCCTGGGATGATCAAAAAAAAAAAGAATTATGAGTACTGTTTTTGTAACATTCACACCTCTGGGAAAATAAACTGTTCTGTGTCTCTCAAGTAGTTAGTTACTTACCCTACCCAAGTGATACTTGGGCAAGGAGACCATTGTCCTTTGATACTGGCCAAGATGAAGCATAATACCCCCAAGTAGAGAAGAATCTTAGTTACTTCCAATTTCTGATTTATAAATTTCAGAGATACAGGCCATCCCCATGGAGTGAGATCAAATCATCTCACTTTCTTTCTACGTAAATCTAGATCTGTATTCCCAACTAAATCTCTTTCCTTTGTGGATACTTTGGGTATGATCCACAGAAAGGCTTTGTAATAAAATGATAGCCTTAAAATTCATTTGACTGTATAGTTGAGTAGTTAACATATTACTGTATATTTGTTTAGAAATGATTTCTAATTATAGACCTTACTAATTGCCTGCTTGGCTTGTTACTAATCCTTAGCATTTAAAGAATCAAAAGGAATGATGAATGATGGTGAGTATGAAATGTGCCTACAATTATAGGTTAGATAAAATATGGACATGGAAAAATGAAAAAGCTTCTTAAAATTATGGCTTTCTTTTAGTAAACGGGACACTGTCAAATGGTAAAGGTCTACATTTCTTGATATATAAAACTTAAATCTCCTTTTCTAAAAATTGTAGTACTACTACTATAAATGCTATAGGGTATCACAAGCTGACTCTGATCATATGGCTCCCAGAAAAGAGAAATAGCCACTCTTTGTAAAACATTTTTCAGATTCAGTGTCTGTGGACTGTAACTTTAAAATACTTTCTATAAGGCACATAAATAATTTGACATATACCTTTATCATTTTGACAGAGTTTCTTTTGTGCTTGTTTTGGTGATTTTGTTGCATTTAACCCTTGGGGACTTAATATCTCTGCTTTTCCAAGCAGGAACTTGGTTCTAACCTTTTGGGAGACCATTAAAAAGAGAGAAAGAAAAAGATGTTTAGTCACTCAGCTTTTGCTTCCTTTTTTGGAACTGTGGACTAATAACTTCCAATGTTTATTGAATGTTTCAAAGACATATATTTGTTACTTCTTAAAGATAAATAAGTTTGAGATATTGAGTGTCGCAAGCATTCATGTGATGTTACCTTAATATGTTGTCATTCTTGAGGTTCGTGGGCATTTAGTAACTATGTGTTTTTATCTTATTGTTAAAAATTTATTTTCACCTTTGGTATTTGCAATCATTCTTTGATCATATAGTTTGCTTTGTCATTTACTCTTTTAAAGCCTGTGACCTACCTGCTCACCTCTGTAGCCAAGTGCAGCATTTAACACAGGAGGCTATATTCCCCTGAGTGCAATTAATTTTTGTGTAAGATTAAAAACACTCCAATCATGTATTGGTGAAGAGAGTTTAAAACATTTAGGCTTGTACTGAACAAGGAGTCACAGAATGATCCCACTTTTATAGATTTGTGTCACAGCCTTTAAAAGCATGGTTTGTTATATGAGCTGCTGCCCTCCTTTAAAAAAAAAATGTAGTTAGTAGGAATAAATTAATAGACATTGAAAAAACAACTGGGACCTGGAATTGAGATATGGTTGTCCATATTTACATTCTGGTGTCCTGTTTTTTAATTTTCATGTTCTTTCATTTTCCTGCTGTCATGTCATTGTTCTGTAGTTGTATGAAGAAACTAAACTTTTCTCCATTTTCAGAAAATCAATATAAGAACCTTGAGTGCCTCTTCCGTTGTTAATTTCCCTTAAGACATGACTTTTTTGAATCTGCTGCATCAGGAGATATTATAAGGAAGTTTTGCCTTGAATATTTGCGTGCTCATAAGACATGAAATGTATGATGAAAATTTTCTTAATTTTGCTAATATTGAGCTGATCAGAATTTGTTTGCTCTTTAAATGTGTGTCTGGTGGGCTTTTCTTACTGACAACTGCCCAGTCCTCAGTGTGTCTGCCTTGTCAGACACAATGAGTTTGGGGGCACCTTCCCAGGGATCCCAGTCAGTAACATTTTCTCTTTCACCTACACCTGATTATATTTCAGTTACATGAAATGAATGGTGTAGATCTAAAGTGAATGTGATAGAACATTCCAGAATCAATGTCTTTTGCTTTGAAAAATCAACATCTCTTAGCTTTTCCTCATGTAATGCAGCAAACAGGGCTTATCAGACTGTGTTGCTTTTTCGTTTCATTTGGCATTGGCCTTTTTCTTACCGGAAGTAAAAAGGCTAATCCTTTGCCTTGTTTATGTAACTCTGACCTTTGAAGATCTATGTTCTTGATTTTTAGATATGGTGTATCTGAAACAAATTTTTAAATGCATCAACTTCTTAATGGATAGAAAATAGATATGAATAGTGACTGTCCATTTTTCAATTTTCCAGAATAACTGAAGTGAAGAGATGGACTGTGATTTGGAGAGTAGTAAGACGTGAAAGGAATACACTTGTGTTTAAACACCATGGCCTTGATTCACTGTTGGGGAGAAGAAACCAAGAAAAGTAACTGGTTGTCATTGTGGGAACAAATAGTTGTTCCCTCAAATGATTGTTACAGTTAAGTTTTTATTCAAAGCAGCTGTAATTTAGTTAATAAAAGACTTATGATGTGCTGTGTGCCCAACTGAGATCCAGTTTTTTTGTTATTTTTATTCAATTAGGGGCAAACGTAGAATGGGCAGCTTCCAAGAATGATGCCTTTCAGATCCTAGCACTTCTTGACTCTAGGTCACCAGTTTAAGTTAGTTCAGGGTGAGAATTTCATAGCACTAGCCTGGTGGTTACCCAGAGATATCAATGAAAAACAGTGGCTTCCATCAAACCTTAGAAAACTCAGGTTCACAACAGCATTGGCAGTTACGATATTAGCTGAATAATGTGTCTGCCACTTAAGGGTCAAGGGAATAGTGAATTAAGTACAGACAGGAATTCTATTGGGAACATCTGGTATGCCACCCACGTGTGATGTGATTTTGATAGAGACAGTGGTCTTCATTCTTGGGGGTTGCCATTCACACGTTCCTGTTCAACATACAGTGTAACGAATCCTTTCCAGATTTAGGGTACTTTGATTGATGGATGTGTTTTTCTTTTTTTCACACAACTCTTTAAACCCTGTCTTGTCCTCCTGTTATTTGCTTCTGCTGTACAAGATGTAGCACCTTTTCTCCTCTTTGAACATGGTCCAGTGACACGGCAACATGCAGGAAGGAGCCAGACTTGTTCTCAGAGCACTATGTTCACACTTTTCAGCAAAAATAGCTATGGTTGTAACATATGTATTCCCTTCCTCTGATTTGAAGGCAAAAATCTATAGTGTTTCTTCACTTCTTTTCTGATCCGAGGCATGAAAAAGCAAGATTGAAATTTGAACTATGAGTCTCCTGCATGGCAACAAAATGTGTGTCACCATCAGGCCACCAGGCCAGCCCTTGACAGGGTGGTTTTATTACTGTTGTATTCTGTGTTGCATGATAAACACTCATCTCCTTCCTCCTGTAGTCCTGCCTCGTACTCCCCTGCCCCTAAGATCGAGAAGTAAAACAAAAACCACATTTCCTATCCCAGTTAGAAGAAAATTAACGTTCTGACAGTTGTGATCGCCTTGAGTACTTTTAGACTTCTAGCACTTGTTTTTTACCTCTTTGTGGGTGTGTGTTTGTATGTGCATATGTATAAGATAGGCACATGCATCTTTTATATGGACAAAAGTGGGCTACCTACAGGAGCACAACGGCTAATTTTGTGCTTTTAGTAAAAACATTTAAAAACAAAGATCTTTATTGGGTGGAATTATATTTGATGCAAATATTTGATCACTTAAAACTTTAAAAACTTCTAGATAATTTGCCATGCTTTTTGACAGCTCACCAATGCCCTCTAAAAATATATAATTCTTCCTATTTGTGTAATAAGACATCCATATTTGTAATTGCATTAATAGTTATTTCTTAGTCCACTGAATGTTCCCATGTGCCTCTTTTATGCCAAATTGTCATATTTCATGTTGGGACCAAGTGGTTTGCCCATGGCAAACCTAAATTTATGACCTGCTGAGGCCTCTCAGAAAACGGAATACACTAGCAAGACAGCTCTTCTTGAAGATGAAATATATATTTTCTTCCCTGATTGTATATCTGTTCAAGATATTAGCATGTGTAGAGGGAACTGTATTCCTTTATACAAATCTGATGGCTCCTGCTGATCTTTTTCCTTCTGAAAATATTTACATTTTGCTAATATAGTTTGTTACTTTAGAAATCAGTTTTGATGAAAGGAGGGATAAAAGCAGATGGACTTGAAAAAGATCCAAATTCCTATTCTCTATTAAGAAAGTCAGGTATGAAAATATTTATAGTAAAATTTTTTATAAAGTTGTACCTTTTAATATGTCACAAACTCATTTTTTGGAGGTTCGACCTTGGGTCTCATCCGTTTGTTGTGTTCTCTCTAATGCTGCCTGCCTTTTGAGGCATTCACTGCCCTAGACGGTGCCACCCAAGATAGCAGGGGAAATGCCCTTCCTGGTTGTCAGCTTCTCTGGATAAAGGACCACAGCTGCAGGAGTCCTCTTGCTTGGGCACCACTGGGCCAGTTCCTTCTCTTTAAGACAGACTTGTGGCTCCCAGTCTCTGTTACATCAAATTTAAAATGCTAACTTCATATATATAGCTAACAATGTTTTTGAGCATCATATATCTGTTTTGCTCCATAATATGCTCCCTGATCCCAGTTTTTGCTGTCCACCCTTCCATTTTTATTTATCATATGTTCTCAGAGTAACATCATTTATCATTTTCTGCAACAACCTTTCCAGGCTTTTCGGCAAAATCAAATTTTTCTTCTCCTTCAAAATGTTCTACTCCAGCCCTGCCCCCCACCCCACTGCTTTGCAATCTGTCCCCATCTGTCCTGCTGCCTCTTTCATCTCCTTCTTACCTTTCCTAGTACTTTATGCATCTGTGCTTAGTTCAGTTGGCTTTTTATGTCTTGCTCCTTTCACTTGATTTTAAAGTTCCTTCTATAGCAAGAGCCTTTCTTTAGTCCTTTCTCTCTTCCTGAAGTTTTTACATACATTAGAAGCTCAATACATAAGTTAGATGATTGAGAGTTTTCTGTATTTAGATTTTTCACTATTTTTAATAGGGTGAGCTAGAGAGGTTTTTTTGTTTTTGAGTTTGTTTTTTGTGGTTTTTTTTTGTTTTGTTTTTTTTGATAAATTTCACATATTCTAAAAACCTTAACAGGTGATGAGTTTTCACCTGGAAACTCCTGGTCCATTCTGTTTAAATTCCTGAGAATGTCAGAATTAAAATGATGGGGCTGCCCCATAGTTGGGAGTATTGATCTTTTCAGGATGCTGTAGTCAATTTAGTAAGTGACCAATCAAACTAGGATTTGAATTAATAAAGCTCAAAAAGTGATAGCTTGTTCCTCCATGTCATTAATAAAAATTAAGCTCTATATCACCTTGTAGATTTCTGTTGTCTTAAAAATGGGTATTCAAAAATGTAGGTCTGCAGTATATGTATGGAAACATGCCCCTTTATTTACCTGTTGTTGAAAACTGGAGAAATAATTGTCCGGCAACCCTTTATCTTTCTATTGTGTTTTATTTGATTGAGGGTTTTTTTAGAAACAGTTTTACATGTGTCATATTTTCCAAATTACTAACTGCCATCACCCACTGGAGGTCCTTCGTTAAGTCATTGTCAGTGGCTAATAGGGATAAGCCAGGTATCTTTGAAGAGATGAGCAGTAAGCGACAAGAAAGTTTTTCTGCCTTTAGCTCTGGCAACTCTTAATTATGATCATTTAAGACCAGCTTTCCCATAAATTTAGCCTTTTGAAAAAAAGAAAGCATTTGTAAAAAGCTTCTCTGTGAGACATCAGTGGAATCTTAAAAGTGTTGTTATCGTGGTTGGCGAGAAAGGAAAACATTTTTGTTTTTATCAAACGGAGCATTATTTACAAAAAAGCCATTGTTGAGAATTAGATCCCACATTGTATAAATATCCATTAACCATTCTAAATAAAGAGAACTCCAGTGTTGCTATGTGCAAGATCCTCACTTGGGGGCTTTTTTGCATAGCAATTAAAGGTGTGCTGTTTGTCAGTAGCCATTTTTTTGCAGTGATTTAAAGACCAAAGTTGTTTTACAGCTGTGTTACCGTTAAAGGGTTTTTTTTTTTATATGTATTAAATCAATTTATCACTGTTTGAAGCTTTGAATATCTGCAATCTTTGCCAAGATACTTTTTTATTTAAAAAAAACATAACTTTGTAAATAGTACACTGTAATATTATATATACTTAATAAAACATTTTAAGCTATTTTGTTGGGCTATTTCTATTGCTGCTATAGCACATGATAGGCACATTTCTGAAAAATTTAGTTTATTAATGTTTTTTCAAGTTGTTCATAGTCTAGGTAACCATGTAAAGAATGACTTAAAATATGAGTTCATTTTCCTAAAGTATAATACCCAAGAAGTAAACTTTTAGTTAGACAAAGATTTAATTAAAAGTTTTAAACAAGTCCAATAATTATTTCATAATTTTTTAAATTAATTTTTCCATAGTATAGTGAAAATATCAAATGAGAAAACAGGAGTCCTGGGTTCTGATCCTGGCTATACTACTAAGGAGCAGAAGACCTGGACAAGCCACTTACCTGTGTCTTGGTGTCCGTCTTTATCTGTACATCAAGATAAGCCTCATCCAAGACTGAAATGTTTGGTTCTCCATTTTAATTGGTTATCAGTTACTACTATTTTGATTGCTAATAAAAAAAACCTAAGTCTAAGAAAAATAGGATCTCTTGGCTAATGTAACCTGAAAATTCAGGTGGTATACAACTGGAGTCTGGACCTCCAAACAGAGTCCTGAGGGCATTCAGTCATAAGACATTGGGTCTTGCCAGCTCCCAGCTTTCCTCTCCCTGGTGTGGCCTTCCTTTCCAGGTTTCCTGTGATGACAGACAGCTGACTGCAGTGCCAAGCCCACCTTCTCCCAGGTTCAAGGATAGTAAAGGGCAAAAAAGAGTTCATGTCCCTTTCTCAATAGTCCTATCCACCCCAGGTTGCACCTCAGTGCTCCGAGACTATTTCCCCTGCCATCCCTCTTTCATTCACCCAGGCCAAGCATTTCTGGGGCTCTGAGTGGGCCGGCCTGACTCCCATATCTAGACTGGAGTGGAGGTTTTAGGCTCTGTCTGCAGCCATAAACCCAGCTGAGGTCAGGGAACAGAGGGCAAGTTCACCTAAAGCAGAATCCAGGGATCATTACCAGATGACGAGGTGTCATTAGACCATGAGCACAGAATTCCTTGCGGTCTGTACTCTATGATTCTGCATGATATGTGTGATTGTAGACCATTTGAATGGAAAATAATATTTGGCAGCAAAGTACCATCGCATTCCTTACCTCATACGCAATTTAAATTTTATGCATTTATGAGAACTTTTTCCCTCTCAGCAGGAGTAACTAATGGAGTTCAGAAAGCATTTAATGGCCTACCTCCTGCACTGAAAGCTGCTCTGTGTAGCACAGAGCTGTACTCAACCTGATTGAGCTCCCACGGAGGTGTAGGCTTCCAAATGCAACTGGATTTCGTTTTTGTGCAGCACCTTTCCACCTCAGGGCCTCAGGTTTGACAGCTTTAGAAAATAACGGATTATGGTAACACCATCCAGGTAGGACATGATTTTGCCAGTAGCTCAGAAATTTAAGCACAATTGGCAGTGTTTGGTGTCAGAAGTGAGGCTGTATGCCAGAACTCACACATCCAGTCGTTTTTTTTCTGTAAGCTTCATACTCAAGTACCCATCCACCACATCGGGGGAGATGAAGTATTTAACCCTAAATTGTGGATAACTGGACTGAAGACAACATTACAAGCTATACAGAAGGGATAGTGGACTTAACGAATAATATTAACTAATAATCTCATAGTGGATTAAAACTCTACTAATTTGACATTTATTTATTTATTTAGTCATTTGACTAGAAGGCAGCAACTTTTCAGCTCTGACGATAGCCAGTTGTGAAAGAGCAGGTATCTTTTCCCAATTTGGATGCTGAGCAATTCTTGGTAAGGAGTCCAGTTTGGAGAAAAATGATTTGTAATTCTAAGGACTGCAATCCAGTGAGCTATGATCCCACTATTGCAATTCAGCCTAAGCTACAGAGCAAGACCTCATCTCCAAAAAGAAAAGATTAAAAAAAATATAAAGACTGCAATCTGATGTCAGTCTTGATGCCAGATAGCACACTAGTTTTGCAGATTTGCAAAATTGATGCCATTGCTATCTTAATGGTCAGACATTGTAACACCATGCGCTGGTGCTAGGCTTTCTGGGAGTCTATACTTAAAATAATCCTGTTTGATTGTAGACCTGCCTTCCAAAAATAAAGAGAACAAAACTGTAGTTTTGCTTTCAAATTTTGAGTTGCCTGAGAAATTCCTCAAGGTTAAACTGACAACCTGCCGTATGCTTTTAGACTTTCTAAACAAAATGGACTGTTTGAAAAGTTTAAGTGTATTGTTTAAAACATGGAATATGTTTTTCAGGGAGCTCTCTACTTATTTCTTTACTCATTTTTATTAAAAAGAATGCTGTCGTTAAGCTGCACTGTGGGTAAAGCAAACTCTTGTGTCTGTGCCAGTCATCATGTACGTCACAGATTCTGTGGGGAAATCTATCTCTGGCATGCCCAGGGCCACAGGAAAGTACTGAAACTTCTGCTGTCCCACTGTTACAGTCGAGTGATGGCTCGCCTCCAGCCCCTGCTTCCTGGGCAGCTTGCTCTGGGAATGCCTCTCCTTCTCCAGGGAGTTTCCATCCCCAGCTCACACAGATGGTTTTTTTTAGAATGTGATGTTCATAAGCCTCACACCTCACTTGTGCAAGGTGCATATATCTGGTTACCTGAAGAAATCTTTCTTTATTAATGTTATCAAGTGTTCTCACAGTTGAATTGGTTAGGTTTCTATTTTGGATTTTTTAATTTGATTTGTTTATCATGAGTTCAGTAGAGCTCATGTCTCTACATATCTTTAGCTATACGCCTAGCTATTGATGGAAATCGTTCTGGTAACAGCTATTACTACATGGAACAGAAAAGATTACCCTGGATCCTATGCAGGAATATATTTGAAAGCATCAAAAAAACAAATACTAATTTTTCTCATCTCTGCTCAAGGGAAGTTGTCAGAAAATATGGAACTTTTATGCTTTAAGCTGATGGACAGATGATAGGGCATTTATTAATTGCCTAACAGAATTATACTTGAAATTAGACAAAAAAACAATTTTCAGTTTTTTTCAGAAACATCACATTTAGTAAAATTCAATATTCTTGTATTCTTTTTATGTTTCTGGAAATGTATTAAATACATTCTCGTGGAAAAACATTCAGCTAATGGGCTTGGCAGGGGTAGCTTACCACATCTCATCCTTGGGCCTTCTGGGCAGAATCACTTTTCTTTATTGTATGGAGAGACTGGATTTAGCAGAGAGACTACCAAGCTCTTTGCCTCCTCTTCAGAAGCAACTGGGATTCTCCAAAGGAGTCACAATGTGATGAAAAGGCCTCAGAACAGATTTTTCCTGAGTGACTGGGCCTCCAGGCATGGTGGGGGGCCTCTGTTGCTTTAACACGTGCTAATGAGGCCAGCATCTCCCCCGTGGACCCCCACCTGGGCCACTTATTTACTTGCAGGACTCCATCTTGTTCCTCAAAGGATTTAAAGTGCCGAGAAAATCTGCTTTCCTTGATCACAGCCACATCAGCTCCCGCACCTCAGCGTGGGTGTCCGAGGAGAGCCGAGCCACAGCTCGCAGATGGCTCCCTGCGAAACCTCGCCTCTGACTGCCTTGCTCAAAGCCATCCCGCACAGAGGTCGAGAGATTCACTTACCTACATAAAGAACAGTTCTTTATTTTTTTCCCCTGAGAAGCAAAGCCACCACCATAATTTTCACTACATACAGAAAACGAATTTATTAAAAAAAAAAAAAAATCAAAAACAAAACAAAATTCCTGAATCAACGGATTCCGAGACCCTGGACGCTGTCCAAATCAACCTGGCAGCGACACAGGTGCTGATGAAAACAACATTTTATGAGTCTGCTTTCTCTCTGGTCCTCCTGGGTATTTTTATTCTTCAAATTGGAGATAAAAATAAGGGCTGCTCTCTCAAGGTGAGGAGGGAGAAAGCAGCATGTGTTCTTCAAAAGACTCAATAAGATAATAGATTTTTTTTTAAAAGCTGTTGCCGAGTGTAACTTACTTATAGTTTCCAAGGGCTTTTTTAAAGTGAAATCTTTGCAAGCAATAGTAAGGAAATCTGGAACCCCCTGAGGTAATAGTTAAGCATCCTGTCAGGGATTTAAATCTAATTATTAGCCTGAAAGTAAAGAAGAGAAAGAACCGGCCAAGTGTCAGCCTGGAAAACAATAATAGCCGTGGTGGTGTTCAGCAGCTCAGTTATTAGTGCCTTAAAGGATAGTTCAGCACATTTATTCTTGCCCTTCAAAGAAGGCCGCAGAGGCTTCAGTGTTTTCTGATAATAGTTTCTTTTTCTGTGAAGTAGAGGTACTTCCTGTGCTCCAAGACTTCATCTCTCCTGAGCACCCGATGGAAGACACTGGAGCCAGCACTAAGTGCAGGCACTTAGAGAAGGGCCACTATGCTCAGCCAGTGCCCCAGCCCTGTACTTCCTCAGCTGTGTGACCCTGGGCACATAACCTGACTTCTCAGTGCGTCTTCCTTTGTAAAATGGAGAGTAAATGTGAAGATTGAATGAGGAAAGGCACGCAAAGTGCTTGCAGTGCCTGGCTCAATGGAAGCACTTCATTGAGTGTAAGCTATTTCTCTTTCTCTTCTTATTATACATTGGCCAAGGTGGAAAAAACTTAGCATGACAGAGTCTAGAGATGAGCATAACAACACACTGGAATATGTATTTTCCTGTGCTAGGTTATTGCCAAAGAGGCAGACAGAGCATCAAATGGCTGAGAATATAAAACAACATAACAAGTACAGCTAAGTAACAGACACGTTCACTCCAAGCACAATATTCGTGTTAGAACACCGGCTAGTTCCCTTGGTGAAACCAGAGGACAGAAGGTGACAGTTGGAATTGGGTAATCCTATTTACCTTTTCCTGGAATGCAGAGAAAGTGGAAGGGAAGGAGCCCGTTCCTGTAGTCCGTGGAGAGTCTTTGGAACCCGACTCCTTCTGACATTACTCAGCTCGTCCATTTATTCATGTCAGTGGCTGATTCTCAAGATGTCTGAAAATGTGTTAAGAGCAGGCCCTCCAATCAT